AAGCATAGTCTTAAATGTACACAGATTTTGTAGCAATGTGTCTGTATATAATTCGCATGTAGGGCATGCGTGGATAAATAAAACCTCTTTTTGAATATTTGTCAGTCTAGCCAAGTAGCCAACTATTGTTATTACTTTAGGAATCTTCTGTAGTATAAGTTTTTAGTATCTCAATACGTTTTTGATTAAATGTAATATTTCAGCTAAATAACTTTTTAGTTTCGTTGCTTAATGTGAATCACTTGGAGGGATAGAAACAGGAGATTCGTTGAGGGGGTTGGGCTTCTGCTTTGTAGGGTCAATTTTTAATGTTAAGTCTTCTTTTCTTTTGGCTTACCTTGCAGATTTCTGGGGAGAGTTTTTGCTATGAGTTAGATGTATGTTACCCTATCTTATACCTTATGTTTACCTGGGTTTGCCCCTTGTCTGGTGATCTTTAAGACAATTTTAACTCATTACTGTTCAAGTGGGTATGATTATTGAGGTCCTGCCCACACTTTGAATTGGCAGTTGATGGCATTGGGCTACAGGCTTAATGATATCTTTTAGTAAGTGGCTCTAGTTTGTTCCTAAATAGCAGATTAGGAAAATCTTCCAGAATTCTTGGTTTGAAGCTTTAGGATATTTTTGTAAAATCTCTTTTTGTGTTTCCAGTCCTTACCATTGCGAGGCTCTCTTTGTTGAGGTTTGTAAGTTGATCTATTTATCTAGGTTGCAGGGTCATGGTAATGCTTTAGGTGTAATGGACCTTGCCCTTGCATTATAATGCTCTATGTATCTCTCTTTAATATTGCCTATTTTCTCCTTCTAAATTTATTCTATAATTTATATTTTGCAGGAGAGGCCTCACTGATGAACTTGGTGCAGAGGCTATGATGATGGATGCACTGGAAAAGGTTGAAAAAGAAATCAAGAAACCACTCTTGAGGAATGACAAGAAGGCAATGGCTCTTCTTATGGCAGAGTTTGATAAAATCAATAAAAAGTGAGCTTCATCTCACCAGTTGGATGCCTTTTTTTTTTCCTTTACATTTTGGCAGAGCTTGAGCACATACCGAATAATCAAGAGTAAAAACGGTCACAGATTAAATCTTTTGATGGCCTTTTCATGTTGCTATATTTCACTCTGCCATGTTTGAAGCTGATATGGGTGTGCGACAGCATAATCACTGCTCAATCACCTCTGCATATGCAGTGTGTTGTGTGTTCCAGCTCTCTGTGGGAGGTTAGCATGTCCACTTAGTTATTGGACATCTGGAAAACACAGACTGAAAAACTGATTAAGAACATAAATAGTCAAGATGTTTTATGATTTGTTTTGACGCACAATTGCTTAGCCAAAAAAAATGTGTTTGGTTAACTTGTATCAGTATATGTCATGATCATTGCAGAGCTTGTAACTTTACACCAAGTTGTGATATTAGGTTTTTGTGTCAACAGTTTAGCGGTTGTGGTTTAAACTCAACAAATTATTAAAGTTTCTCATAATCCAACCATATTTCTTTGGCCTAGGACTAACATCCTGTCTTCCATAGCTAAAAACACCTCACATGTCCCTTCCCAAAAGAAAATTGAAAAACGCATTCAAAAGCAGATGGAGTTAGGTTCAGCGAAGATTGTTTATATTAAAAAACTTACTGGATAAGTAATCTATTGGAAAATAAAATTTCAGAGCGAGTGTGTTACTCGCTGGGTAAGTATGCGGCTTCCTTAAGTGAGTCCTTTCTCTTTCTATCTTAGTTAGTCTAGTCCGTATAGTAGTTAGCCCTTTTCCTTTTAGATGGATCCTTCATGTGGTAAGTAAAGGTCGTAGGTAGCTATTATGAGTCTTAGGGCCTGTTTGGTATTTTTTTTGGGAGGGATTTGGATTGGATTGTCCAAACCCGGGTTTGACCAAAGATGGGTTTGAGGGGGTTAATGCTATCTATGCCCGTGTTTGGTATGCGCAGGGTGTATTACTATTATGATAATATATTTGTATATATTTGACTTTTTTGCCCCTTAACCAATTTGTATATATGAGGTATATAGGATATATAGGGGTATAAATGTCATTTGCATGTTAAACCCCCAAACCCACAAGTGAAACCCACCCACCCCCTTGGGTTTCATGAAACCCAAGTATGTGGGTTTCCTGATCGGGCCGAGTTTGAAATCCTATCCATACTTTATGGTTGCCAAACATAGGTTTAAGGGGGTTTACTCCCCAACCCATGTTCCCAAATCCCCCCAAACCCACATACCAAACAACCCCTTAGAGTCCTGCCTTCTATCTTGTTGCTTCGATTGATTTAGAGCAAGCAAGCCTTTTCACATGCACTTCTTCCGAACAGGGTGTGTCATATGTTTGCTTTGGGATTTCATGTTCTATTGGTCAATTTATTAAATGTGTCCAGCATGTTTGCTACCATAGTATTTTTCTGTTTTATTATCCATTTGGTTTTGTGCACTTTCTTGTGCAGACGGTTATCTTTGAGAGGAGACATGCACAACCAATAAATTTGCGCAAAACCATTTAATAAATTGACCCAATAAGTTTGCTCATGTGCAGGTTTCACTTATTTTCTTGTCAAAAGAAAGAAGAAAATAGTCTATTGTTTATCTGTGGTAATAGAACGTGTTTGTTTATGTTATCAGACTTGGAATACGGAGGGAAGATCTGCCAAAGTATGAAGAACAGTTGGAACTTAAAATCTCTAAAGCACAACTGGAGGAGTTGAAGAAGGATGCTGTTGAGGCAATGGAAACTCAAAAGAAACGGTATGTGTCTTCACTGACCATCTTATTTTTGGAAAAAACATTCTTAATTGACCTATACATTTCTTCAATCATTTTGTAGTTCCTTGATCCCTCTGGTGTTAATAGTGTTTAGTTTGTGTATGATAAAATAAAACTGCTTAGCTAGGTCAGAAAACAAAGGGAAAGGCGGAAACAATTTTCTGCTTGAGCGTAGTTCCTACATGGTTGAACCACCAATAGTTCATCTCTTTTAATGTCATGCGTTGAGTTTTAGCTTGGCAAACAAATTGAAAAATAGAACAACTGAAATTTCCTTAATATTGACGTTGATGCAAGTAGAGAATAGACTGAAGGCCTTGGTGTTTGGCAAAGCAAAAAGCTTGTCATATTGTCATGTGATTCTGTTATGTTAAATATCAGGAAGCTTGGTGGAGATGCCTGGCATTTAGTTGCCTAATGAAGTACACAATTAGCAAGTAAAGTCGTTGGGTTGACCTTTAAATGAGGTCATAATTAAAGATGTTTTTTAAGTGGTAGGTTTTTGTCTTTTCTCCTTGGAGAAAGGAGAGGCTCTGTTTCGGAGATGTTGATATCATTAAGCAGGAGAAGATCACTGGTGTTGTGATAATTCAGGATGTGCATGTTGAAATTTCTAATTAATCTCTGGGGTCTAAGATTCAAGTAGTCTGTTGATAAGGAAAAAATTGGACTTTTTCGGCTGCTAAATTTTGCCGATGAAGTTTGAAATTGTGATCTTGCTTTGCATGGCATCTAGCAATATAGTGTGGACTATGTGATCTTCATTCTTCTGGATCTGACTTTCATAGGTGCTTATTGTCTTGCTGTCTGTTCACATCAGCTAGATTGTTATGAAAACGACATATTGCCTAATCTTTTTCCTGCTATTTCCAGTGAGGAATTCAAGGATGAGGAGGCGGTGGATGTGAAGTCACTGGACATACGAAACTTCATCTGAGATTAAGTTTGCTGTTTTATCAGTTTGCTTTGAATTAACAATTGTTAGGAAGATGGAATCCAGCAATTGTTTATTAGAGCAGTGAGCCGTTTTTTTCTATTTTCTAAAAATAAGAAAGGAGGTATTTGGAAGCGAGACAACAGTTGCTACTCGATTAATATGTTGCTGGTTTATGTGTTCCCAGTTTCATGCAGTGATGGCACCGAGGGTTGCCTCTGGCCGGCTTCACATTTGAAAATGCAATTATCAAATTCTGTTCATTTATGGAATTTTTTTTTGTAACTGGAATTCACTTGTTTCTCAAGTATCTACTGTTCATTTCCGGACTTTGATGCTGTTTTTTGGAACTGGAATTCAAATGTTTTTGTAGATATAATCATATCCTGGTTCCAGATCAAATTTGGATCAAAACAATTTTGATGAGTTACAATCGTATTGAGACAGGTCTTGGCACAATAGTTGGGTTGTTTCATTGACTTGATAGTTGGAGTCACAGAAAGTCTCTCAGCGACTAAGGCTGAGGTTACATATGTAGTCATCTTGAATTCTCATAGTGGTAGGAGAATCATGCACTGTAGTCTTGTTTTACATTCCTATTAGAGTTGATCAAATATGATAAATCTTCATAGAACAACCATAATTAGGCAATGCATTGAGGGATGTAATTTGAAAAAATAGTGCTTTGTGGCTAATAGATGATAGTGGGATATATTTATTGATGAGATTCGTTGACGCATTAAATATATTGGACTGTAATGGGGCGGGATTTCAATCGAGGGCGTCAGATCTGTAATTTTTTTAGCATGAAAATTTTTTTTGAATAAATTTTATACTATTCTATTTCAAAAAATTAAAAAGGAAGCCATTAATGTATATTTATTTACGCAAATACATCGACGACATTTTTGTATAGGGCATCTTGATAAAAAATGTGCTCCTAGAATATCTCCCCAAAAAAAAAGAAGCTGAAAACCATTAGAGAACGATGCGCCAATCATTTCCAAAAGACAAAATAACTAATATTAATTGCATTATTACTGTTTTTAAGACAACAAATGAATCTCAATAGGTCAAAATCCGACTGAGAAATAAATAAATACAAGGGGTTGTATTACCACCATAATTCATGTCAAAAATTTCATCTCCCAGATAATTGATTGGTGATCATTGTCATCCAATAAATAGGTGGGAGAGGGAACCTAAGAAACTACATTACAATGACACAGTCTCTATTTTCACAAGCAGGCATACTCCAACTTGGTAACTTACAGGGCCAATATGCTGATCAAGGTTTCCTCTTTTTGTTTAATTTAGAGCTGTTGCCTTCCTTATTTCTTTTCTTCCCACTTTTGTGGCTTTCTTTCTGTTTCTCATGTTTTTCCAGCCCACTTCGGCTCGACTTTAAGCTAATTAGACCGCCCGAGGATATCTTTCCTCCGTTTTGCAAAGCATTTTCAAAATCAACTTCTTTGTCTGCAATGGCATACTGTTGGAGGAGCTCTGGATCCAGTAAACCATCCATTTTGGCTTGCATCTCGTCCTGCATATGTTGCAAGTTACTAGAGAGAGAGGGAGGAGGGGGGTAAGTGGAAGATATTGAGCAAACCTTGACTTCCTTTGCTGCGTCATTAAGATCTTCGTCCACGGATACGCTGTGGGGTTTCATCACAACCTGAAATCAAAAAGAAATATAGCTAAATGTCAAGGTGAACAAGATAACAGTGTCAACTGATGAGGCAAAAAAGAATTTTGATAATCTGTCCATGTTAGATTGTCCTTATTTGCAATTTGTTATTTAGGTCTGCATATCAGATCATATTTGATCACACCATAAAAACCTGAACAAGCCTACTCTCAAAATGTCTCCTTTCCAATGCAAAGCCAAGCATGCAACTCTAATGTTCTCGGAAAGCTTCTAGCAGAAAATAGGTAGCAGCCGAGTGGTAATATTCGTTCCAAATTTTCAACAGGCATCCCTACCTCTAATATTACAGATGGTAATAATGGTCCTCACTTCTCATTACGGGGTTGCTGCTTCTAAGAAGTTTCGACTCAGAGCAATGTCTCTCTTGTAGAGAGGAAGAAGCATATTTTCACATGTTGAAAGAGAAACTGGTAGCAGAAATAGATTAGCAAGTGATAACTTCATTTGTGTGACAGTCTTTGAATGTTTCCATAATATCAACATTGAAAACAGTTCAAAACCGAAGTAGGGTTTGGAAGCAGCAACCACAAAAGAACCCTCCAAGATGTGAAATTTCATAATGTATGTCAAACAACCAACTACTCTAAAAACTTATGCTCTAAAAGGAGTGTGTAACTGAAATATTTATACTTCAACACGTCTTCTCACATGCAGGCTAGAGTTTAGGCCTAGCATGTACAAATCTTTTAATAATTCCCGATCAATTTATCTAATATCACAACTAGGAAGTTAAATACTCAACTTATAAAAATAAAACATCGGTCGAGATAGATCTAAATTTCATCTACTTAGATCAAATGGTACAAAATTTATCTCAAAATATTTTCCCACTTGAAAACATCATCTTCTCAGCATAGTCCCTAATGTCAGACAACTCAACAACCAACACACTCCCCAATGCCCAAAAATTCCATTAATCCATATTTACCTCTCTCTTCTCCCTCCCTTACATTTTTCTTATTTTTTGTTTGTTTACTTTAAGAATAATAAGTTGCTATTTAAAAAAATATATATATTGCACGATCAATGTACGATTTTTGTTATAGTAAGAATGTCTTCAGGCATAGACTTATTGTTAGTCTATCAACACAGCAAAAGACAAACAAATTATTAAAAAAAAAATGATAAGGAAGGAGAAGCACCAGGATGAGAACTTATAATATAATTAGCATTCTATTTCTCTACTTACTTCTCGCAGTCGAGGTAGACTTGAATCAATCTCCTTTGATGCAATACCATATAGATGTTTGTGGAGCTTCTTCATGACTTTTATGAACAAAGACAATATCTGCTGTCTTTCCAACTTCATCTCTCCCTGTAAAACAAGAGGTAAAAGGGCATAACTAAATTGCGAAAAATTTATCCAATAACCTTGCCTTTCAATTTTCTTCTTCTGTTAAAAGGTTTCTGACCACAGCAGCAGCAGTAGTCATAATTATACAATCGATAGATTGTAGCCTATCAATGGAGAGATGAGAGCACCGTCACTCTAGCTTAGACCCAAACCATGGATCATGAAGCAACAATGTAGTGAACTTGGCAAAATATCACCTAAGAGGCTAAGAGATCATGTAGACCAAAACTAATTTATGGAATGACGCAATAATATCTGGTTTGTAGAATCATCCCATAATTATTCTTATCTGACTTACGAGTGACTGTAGTATATTAGACAGTCTGCATCAAATCTCTCGGAAAGATCACAGAATAGGGGGTCATGACTGTCTAGTTAGAAACCACATTCATATGCTATTGCACCAGGAGATCTAATAATTAAAACTACAATATTACCTTATACCATTACCTGGAACTCTGCACCCTGCATGGAGTCGGGAAAAAAATAAAGAAAACAGAGAAGAAAAAACTTCCTACACAAGAATTTCTAGATGTGCAGCACAAATGGATAATGACTTAATTCAGTCCAAAATAGTTGAAAATGTCAAGAAATTAATCAATGAATTTTTGTTAATTTAAAAATAAATGAACGAGAACACTAGTTAAAAAGGTCATGAAGACAAACCTGAATGCAAGTGATACTTTTCTCCTGCAAGCCACTGCAGAGCAAAACAGAAGCCTGGGTATATGACACTGAAACTGGAAGCTTCTCCCGGAAATAAAGACGAGCAAGGGTTGGCACGAGATCTAGAATCTGAAGAATACATACAATTTACTTGCTGAAAGATTATAAGACACAAAAACCATCATTCATTCTTATACTATACACTGATAAAAAAAGATTCTTATACTCTCATTTCCAACTATTGGTTGACTTAGATCTACTTGATAAAAGAAGATCATGACAACATGAACCCGTGGGATGGAGAAGTGATCCTGAAGAAGTTACAGAAATCCAAATTACCGAGAATGACACTGTCCAAAGGTTATTCTAAATGTGGCATAACTAGCCCTATAAACAAAATAGGAATTTAAAGGTGTGCGAAGAACGGCAGCCATTAAATAGACAAATCGAGAAGTGAATACTTAACATGAATCTCAACTGCACGTGAACCGTACTCGTCAATAATAAAATAATGTTCCCACCCAATTTACTCCAGTTATGTTATTTCTTCTTGTAGGCTTGCAACTCTCAGTTGTGTACAAAAACACAAAAATGGCTTAAAATAGTTTTAATCTGGTTAAATTTGGGGTTGGTTCCTCTTGGCTACTCTCAGAGATCAAACTCTAAAATGGCTTATGCTCCAAAGCATAACTTGCTTTCAGTCTCACCAAGTTGGCTTCGGCACCAAATGACCTGCTATAATTAAAGATTTGAATTGAATTATGGCTCTGAAGAAAGTAAATATAAGTGACGTGCTCCAAAGAGGAAACCTAAGAAGATTCTCTCTCATCATTTGCCCTTTGCACTCCAACCGAAAGAGAGAGAGAGAGAGAGAGCAGATCATTCTTCCTTCATTATGAACTTCCATTTTTAAATGGCTAATACTTATTAGCGCCCTCCCGAAATCTCTCCATTTCTTTTCGGCTTCAAACATTCCACATAGACCTGCTTTCTCATGGCTAGAATCAAGTAACTACCACGAAAATAGATTCATTAATAATATAGCAAGAGAGCATGCAATACCTTAAAAGTGGTCTATACAAAGGTTGACCACCACAGAAACCAATTGCATGTGCAACTTAGTGGAATGGCCCAATTTTAATTGTAAACTAATGAAATTGGAGCCTTATGAGCAATCTAAACAAGAACGGAATGGGAAAACAAGTAAACAAAGCCAAGTTCTGGAGTGCTCAAGTTCAGCTGGGCCAACGGATTGTGCTAAAAGGTGACCTAGTTCTGGCTTGGATTTTAATTTATCATGTTCCAGCTCAGCTCAAAGTTTTAAATGAGCTTCCAAGATAATTTAAATTGGTAGAAATACCCTGGCTACCACTCATAAGTAGTTGATTTTCAGAAATCAGAAACGGTTGGTGGTACAGGTACAGATAAAGATGTGCTTATATTATAGTCCTTTTTCTATAGTTGAATAGATGCATGTAGGCACCATAGCGAGCCAAGAGCTGATTGAGACAGAGCAATGGCTTTCTGAGATGTCATAATCAGTGTTAGATCCTCTAAACCCATGAAGACAGTTTTCCGAAATCTATGAGGTAAAGAGTTGAGGTCTCGGCAAGTTCTGTCTTTAGAAGATCTACTAGGATAGTCTTAATTTTTAGTTCTAGAAATTTTAAATTTGTTGTGGCATTAAAGCCTTGAGGTGTAAGGACAACATGCTTATCTTGCCTCTTGATTGCAGCTGTTTCATGCATACAAAATGGAATAATAGTTAGACACATTTGTGAAAGGATATAGATTTACTTCTTTTGTTAACCTCTCTTCTTACATTTCACAAGAAGAACCTAAGGCAGAACAAACTATTTGACCCAAACCAAGTTGAGCTGCTGGCTGACCAAACCCTGCTTGATTCCGCAGCAAATTTGGAGCTGAAGCTTGACTTAGTCAAGCTGACAAATGACAAATGTGCTTGAACAGGCAGAGTTCAAGTGATCTTCCAACATCCCAATGGGGCAGGGACTGCAGGGAGTCTGACTGAAGCATGTGAATGCTGAAGCATGTTAACAAAAAAGACATATCCTAAATTGATAAAAAGGCAGTCATAAAAGATAGGGTAAGTTGCACAGAACCCCCTGAATTAAGGCCAATGAGTGTCCCCTTCAGGTAAACAAGCCAAGCAACTAGCACATTACCATCCAATTCACTTAATAAGATCAAAATGCCCACCCAATATGTAGATCAAACAAAAATTATGACTCTTTTATTGACGTATACCTGTGGCGGATATATGCTTGCATCAATGTCTCCCTGACCTCTTATCTTTATCTCAGTGATATTAAATGATCAGACCATTATATCAAGAATGGTTCCCAAATTTCCCATGAACTCATTCAGGATTTGCAAGATCACTTTTCAGGATTCCTCGTCTCCAAACTTCATAATTTGTTTAGTGATTCAAAAACCAAAAGAAGAAAAAAAGATATAATGAAGGAGAAAGACTACGGTACCGCCATCGGTACCGAAACGAAAATTACCACTTTTGAAGATTTAAGTTATAACTTTTTTAGGTGTAAGTTATAACTTGCAAAGGGCATGATCGGTCCTAAAACATTGCGATCAATCATGGAATCTACAATATTTAAAGGTAAAGTTACAATTTTTAAAGGTCAAGTCACAACTCCACATGAGAATTTACAATGGCTCAGGGGAAGCCCATGATCGTTCATGAAATTCCCTTTACCAGAGGT